ATGAGCACCGCGGGCTCCAGCACAACGGAGTCCAGGGGCACGTCGCTGACCGGCGCCGCCGCGACAAGCAGCGCGGCGACGATCGCCAGAGAGTCGTGCAGCACGACTTTGCTGTGCACACCGGGGTCCAGTTGCGTGGGCCCCAGCTCGGCGGAATCGAGCAGCGCGTCGCTAACCAGCACCACTGGGACAAGCAGCGCGGCAACGTGGCCTGGCACTCTCACCTCAGCTACCTGGGGCGCCCCAGCGCACAGGGCACATGGTCGATGAGAGCGCGTCGCTTTTTTCTCAGGAGCTTAGTTGGCACAGTCAGGCATGGCATAACCAGGGTTGGCACAGTCATGGTTGGCATAGTCAGCGCGGTCGGAGATGGCACAGCCACGATTGGTATAGTCAGCAACAACTGCTCGATGAATGTTCTACCATTCTTCTCCTCTCCTCTCCCGCCGTGTGCGTGGCGTGCACTCTCAAGCCGCGTGCCTGGCGTGCGCGTCCCTTTCTCCCCTCCAGCATCCTAATGCTGCAGCGCTGAGCTGCCGCGCCAGGGTGCTACCGTGCCTGGCGTGCACTTCCCCTCCTCTTCTACCGCCTGCGCCTGGCGTGCGCTTCCTTGCCGGCGCAACCCGCTGGCATAGCGACCCCTGGGGGTGCCCGGCCGCGTCGGATTCCCAGGGGTTCTGCGACGGTTAGTCACCTACGCCGGGAAGGGCGCGATATGGGCCGCGAGCCGCAGGAATAGAGCAGAGAGAAGACAGAGAGGACCTTGCCGTCCGTCCAACACGACCCACTGGCGCCACGACCCCTGGGAGCACCCAGCCGCCTCGGATCCCAACAGACTCTGCGACGGTCAGTCGCCTCCACTGGGAAGAGTGTGAAGATAGTCGCGAGTCGCAGGAGGAGGGCCCCCCCCTGCTGGGGAGGTGCTAAGTTGGCACAGGCAGGGTTGGCATAGCCATGGTTGGCACAGTCGCGGTTGGCATAGTCATCGCGGTCGGCGATGGCACAGCCACGATTGGCATAGTCAGCAACAGCTGCCCGACCGAATGTCCCACAACTTTCCTCTTCTCCTCTCGCTTGGCAACGCGACCGCTGGGAACACCCAGCCGCCTCGTTTTCCAATAGGCCTCTGCGACGGTCAGTCGCTTCCACGGGGAAGCGCGCGAAGATAGTCGCGAGTCGCAGGGTGAAGGGCAGGGGGGCGACAGGGAGATCCTTGCTGGCCGTCCAACACAACACATTGGCAACGCGACCCCTGGGGATACCCAGCCGCTTCGGATTCCAAGGAGTTATGCGACGGTAAGTCACCTGCGCCGGGATGTGCGCGGGATGGGTCGCGAGCCGCAGGAGAAGGGGCAGGGGGGAGACAGAGAGGGCCTTGCCGACCGCCGAACACAACCCATTGGCGACACGACCCCCAGGGACACCCAGCCGCCTCGGATTTCAACAGACTCTGCGACGGTGAGTCGCCTCCACTGGGAAGAGCGCGACGATAGTCGCGCGTCGCAGGAGGAAGGGGGGCCCCCCGTTGGGGAGGAGCGTGGTTGGCACGGTCAGGGTTGGCATAGCCAGGGTTGGTGCTCGAGTAAGTGTTGTACCATTCTTCTCCTCTCCTCTCGCACCGTGTGCCTGGCGTGCACTTCTTCTCTTCCCCTCTTGCGTCCTAATGCCGCAACGGTTAGCTGCCGCGCCGGGGTGCCTACCGTGCCTGGCGTGCACTTCCCCTCCTCTCCTTTGTTTCGCCGGCTTTCTCCCGCGCGGCTGGGCTTGCCGCCGATGCCGCTGTCTGATGGTGCTCTGACAGCCTGAATCCCATGCAATGCTTACACTGTGGGTGGGCGGTCAGGTGGCCCCTGGCCCGCTCCTGGCTGGCGTCGGCCTCCGCTGGCAACCGAGAGGGTTCAGCGGAGTCTCGCCGCGAATTCCATGCAGGGATCGCGCTGGGAATGGGCGGCCAGGTGGCCCCTGGCCAGCGGCCCGTGGCTGGCGCCGGCTTCCACTGGCGACCAGAAAGGTTCAGCGGGGTCTCGCCGAGACGGTCTCGCTGCGCTGCCGGCTTCCACGATGCAAGGACTTCGGCATGCGTGGCACTGCGCGCCCGTCGGCTGCTTCTTCTTGCGAGGTCTCCGCTTTCGACATGTGCCAATGCTGTGCAAACAAGAGGTACTGCCGTTAGCAGTCCTATCTGCGACGAGGTTGCCCCGCTTCACTCCTGCGTTGACGCGATGTTTCGCTGGCGGGATGCACTTGTGCCGCCTGCTGCACGGACGTCGTCTGGGTGTGCCTGTCGGTCCTGTTCGTCTCTGACGGTGCCTCGTGCCGACTCGCGCCGAGTGGTTGACCTCTGCGTGTTTATGGTCGCGCCGCCGCGCCATTCTGGCTGCGCTTAATTGCTGGTCGCCACCGTGATTTCCACGCCGCCGGTTTGGGGGTTTCGTCATTGACTCCTCTTCTGAGTAGTTGCCCGCACGCTCGCTTCGCTTGCCTCCCTATTTTCTAACTGCCTAGTCGCGGCCCGGCTAATTTTCGGGCGGCTTTCGACCTGCTTGGCGAGCCCGCAGACCAGAAAGTAACCCCGCCAGCCCATCTAGAAACGATGCCTGGAGGAATTGCCTCGATCAGGGAGGCGGGCAGCACGCAGAGGAAGGGCCCCCAGTGGAGACCTCTTGGAGCGTCTTGGGGCCTCTTGGCGGTCCCCGACGCCTCATAGACTCATAGTGCTTCAGGGGTGCCTCGGAGAGCCTCTTGGGGCCTCCTGAGGGTCTTGGGTGCAGCTTGGAGGCCTCTTGGGCGCCTGTTGGGGGCCTCTTGAAGCCTCCTAGGCGCCGCTTAAGGCCCTCTGAAGGCGCTCTTGGACCCTTGGGGGCGCCCTTGGAGCCCTCTCGGGCCATCTTGGGGCCAATTTGAAGCGAATGGGCGAGAAAGTCAAACGCATTGATTTTCCAAGGGTTTCGCTCGGGTCTGGGCCTCTTCGGGGCCTCCTGGGGGAGCTCTTTGGCCACTTGGGGCCGTCTTGGGGCGGTCTTGGGGCCCCTTGGAGCATCGCGGGGGCCACGTTGAGGAGGGCTGGGATATCTGGAGCCATCTTGGAACGCCGCCCTCCCCGAGGAGGCCAACGCGTGGCCCGCGCCTTAGTGACGACCAATAATTTTGGCATTATCGCCGAGGCCCCTTGGGGCGTCCCGGGCGCTTCTGGGGGGCCACTCGGGGCCTCTTGGGGGTCTCTTGGGAGCCTCTTGGGGGCGTCCTGGGGGCCTCTTGGGGGCCGTGCCCGCGGGGGCCGCCGAGTGCGCCAGCGCGACTTTCGAATTGGCGCTGTCGGCGGGCGGTGCGGCGCCGATCTCCGGGTTCGCGCGTGAACCCCGCGCGAATGCGGTGCCAATCCTGCGCTCTATACGTGCAACCCCTGCAGCCCCGTTCGGTCGGCCCGTGCGAGTTGGCGTTCGTTATGCAGTGGGGGGCGCGCATCAAGAAACCATCTGCTTTTCGTCAGGGTATCCTGGGTTTCTTCGCTCCTCGCTCTGCGCGGGCACTTCCGCGGCCGTTGAAGGAGCTGTGCGTCCAGGGTGCTCCAGGTTTCCCCTCTTGCGCACCTCGCGCACGGGTTCTCAGTGTCGGGTTTCTTGCGAGGGTTTCTTGCGCCCGCGTCCGCGCTGTATACCTTTGGCAGTGAATTCGAGATTATCGCATCCCCATCTTGTTGCCGACGTCTTGCTGCTATCGACGCAGGGTATCAGTGAGATCGGTCAATCGGCCTTCTTCTCCTGCGCGCGTGCTGCCCAGCCGCGTGGCCGAGGCGGTCGCTCAATCGAGGGTGGGGGAACGCCCATCCGCGCCGCAATTCGCATGTATTCCGTAGGCGGCGCAAAGCTCCAATCTGCATGGCCCCGATGTCCGAGGATTCGGCCGCCGTGACATTGCGCCTCGCCACCGCGCCGCGCGCGGCGCGAACCTTGGCCGTCAGGTTCCGGTGGAGATCGCGTTTGAGGCTTTGGTCGTCCAAGATTTTGGGGGTTGACAAGAGGAGAGATTTCATGTGAGCCGGGGATTTGGCAGCGGCCTGATGTCGTTCGAGATTTCGCGAGGGATTTAGCGGCGGCGAGGTTCTTGGGTGATTTTCGGAAAATTATCGGGGAGATTTTGCGCGGGCGAGATTTTTCGGAACACGGTATTGGAGATCCGCGTTGGGAATTTTCGCGGCGAAATTCGGTTTGAGTTTATTTCGCGTTCAGACAGCGTCCAACATTTTTGGTTGAGGTTTTTGGGCTCGTTCCTAAGTCTACGACCTGGCGCGATGTAATTATCGTGGGGCGTCGGGGGGGCGTCGCCCTCGCCGACTCCCCTCGTTGACCCCCGTCGCGGGCAGCCGCCGCGCGCCGAAGCCGACCCCCGTCGCGGAGCGACGACGATGAGAGGTTGACCCCCGTCGGGGGGGTACCTCCCCCACGTGTTTGTTTGATGTTGTTGCGCATCCCGGGGGGGATACCGTTGTATGTTCTGTGTTCTTCGGCTGGCGGAGGGCCTCGTGTTCTTGAAGGGTGCTCTTCTGTTTTGGGCCCGACCGTGCCCCGGAGTCTGATGTTTCGTTGTTTGCATTGCGGGATCCCTTCAAATCTTGAGCGTTTACGCGGGGCCGCTTTTGCATCATGCGCCGTTTTTGACGGCCCCGCGGCATGACGAGGCCCCCCCTGGTGGCAGAGCGCTGCGAGAAATAACCCTTTTGGTTTTCCATTGCGTTTTGGGGCCCCCCGACCCTTACCAACGGTGCCCCCCCATACGTCCGACCCAGGACCCCCCCCACACTCCCCTTTTAAAACCTTGCCAGCCTGAAAGATATCCATATCCTTTTGATCGGCCTCGCCTTGTCTCGACGCCGACCTTCAGGCTTCCCCCAGTTCTTGAAAGCGCATCCTTCAGACTGTCGTCGCCGCTGGGTTCGTCAATCCGTAGGATCAGCATCAGGTCGAAGCCCGGTCACCCCCTTTGGCGGGAGAGACGCTCAGGTCCAGCGGCGTGGGCGAGCGCGCGGCGGAAGCTTTGCGGACCGCCGAGCCCGCGCCCGCGGCGGCCGCCCCGCCCTTCGCCCCCCCGCCGCAGCACGGACGTGGCCGGGGGGGATTTCCGGAAGCGGGGAGGGTTCGATTCGAGTAGGCCGATCGCGGTCAATATCCAGGGGAACGAACAGCGACACAAACATTTGAAGAATTCATGGGTCCGCGCACAATTCTCGGACAGTCGGTGGGCCCCCCCCTGGCGGCGCTCCCGGCGCCGCCCCTGGCGCGGCTGTGGGACGCCGCGGGGCCTGGGACATGCGAGAGGCAGCAAAACAAACGTACAGGTCGGAATCGGTTCGACGAGATCCTCTGCCTCACTTCCCTACTATTCATGTAACGGTGTACCTCCCTGCTGGTGTGCGGGCGTTGCCGCACCTCGCCCGCTCATCAGCGGGCTGTTCGCGGGACCTTTCGCGCGAGTGGGAGGGGATGCAGGGGCAGCATGTGTTGGATCGAGTCTCAAGCGAAAAGATAAGAAGGTGGCTACGCGTTTTCGTTGCCCCCCCAGAGGCTCTTCGAACCATTCTGCCTGCAGTGCAGCATCGAGCGAGCCTCGTCGACGATGGGACCGGAGCGGACCCTAGCAGGAAAGGAGACGAGGGCAACCTGTTCAGGATCGAGTCTCAAGCGAAAGGGTAAGTCGTTGCGCGTTTTCTGCCCCCCAGGGGCTCCTCGGGCCAGATTGCCCACGGTGCAGCGTTCAGCGAGCATCGTTGACGATGGGACCGGAGCGGACCCGAGTGGCAGGTGAGACGGACAACTTCACTCGAAACCAGCGTTTTCCTTGGATTTCGTCCCTCAGGTGCCGTTGTCTCTAGGCCACCCAGATCGGGTCCGAGTAGATGTGGTCGGAGGATCGCACCGCGTCGCCGATGCATCGCCGATGCGTCTCGATGTGTAGCCCGCTTTGTTCCGCGCCGACGGCGCCGGTGCGTCGCCTCCAGCGCCGATGTGTCGGCGATGTAGCTGCGATGCGGCGCGATCCTCCGACCCCATATACTCGGACACTATGTGGGAGGCCTCTATTGTCGTGGCCCGGGGCAATCAAACATGGATCCTCGACGCAAAACTGCCCCGGGGAAGGAGCTGAATCCTCTGGCTATCGAAGATGATCGCACTTTTGGCGGAGCTCCGCGCGGATTTCTTGAATCTGCGCTGCCCCCCCCTGGGCGGCCCCTCAGGCGCCGCCCGTGGCGCGCTTTTGGGGGTTCCAGTGCTGATTCAACCAGGATGGAAAGAAACACACAGACACAATTCATTGCCGAATACCAGGAAAATATGGGAAATGATGGGGAGTGGGGGGGGAGAGACGAGAATCCCGAAACCATGAGAAGATATGGAGAATTCTGGGATCTGTGTCTCTTGAGTTCTGTGCTCCTGGGCCCCCTCATTCAAGAACTCTCTGCGCGCCCCTCCGAACGTCTGAGGTCAGGCACACTTTTCCTCCTGCCCTTTGGGGGCGATGGGCTCAGAGGCGCACGCGTCGACCCCCCAAACGCCCACAGACTGCTGGCAGGGGCCACGGGGGCCCGAGAGCCCACCGCGCCCAGGCCGGGGCCATGAGGGGCTGCCATCGAGAGGCGGCCGCCGATCTGTCGCTGCTGCATCGCCGACTCCAACCAGATGGTCCTCCCCCTGGTCGGCCCCCCCCCCTCTGTCGAGTTGCCTTCGGCCCATCCCGCCACCGTGCCCGGACTGTGGGTACCTCTTGGGCCCGGGACAGTCAAGAGAGAAGGCGCGCCAGGCCAAGCCCAGGACTCCTCAGGAGTGAGGATTGAGGCCTAGAGGACCGGGCCAAGGACCTGAGTACACGCCCGCTCCGTGCCCAGAGGCACGGCGGCAGATCGTTCCACCTCACGGAAGAGGCCACAGAGTGAGAAAGTCCAGGCCTCCCAACGTGCCGCAACCAATTGCGGCGGAGGGTGTTTTCGTAGGTTTCGGCCCCTGGACGCCCTGTGTTCGGACTCGGTGGCAGTCGGAAAGAGTCGGGATGAACTGCTGGCCCCTGGGGGAAGTGTTGACTTCTGCGGGTCCCGAAGTGTAACAGGCAAGGCATCAGACATCAGACCGTGCCCCATCGGCGGCCGCTGTCGGTTTTTGACAACATGTGCATTTAGGCGTCGTGCACACTTTTTCCCGACTCTCGTTTGTGCCAACAGGAGGCCGGCCGGATCCACAATTCGAACCGCGCGCCTACCCAGTCAGATTATGTCTCGAGGTTGTGGTGTAGGCTAGGTCACCAGAGGGGACGGGAAGATGATCGTGCTGCGCGCGTCGTTTGCAGGTGGGGCGGCGCGACGATTACCGCGCATCGTACCTCGCGGGGCGCGATGCGCGAAGTTTGGTGATCTAGTGTCTCGAGCGTGTGCTGAAGCGGTGGCTGCCTACTCCCGTCAGCGTGTAGTTTCAACGTGCCACCCGTGTTTCACGAATTGTCGTGTGAGTCTATCCCGCTACAGGGTGGACTCGTCACAGTGTGCCCAGTGTGTCTGTACTGAAGCCTACGTGACGCCAGCTTTTCTGGGGATGTAGTGGCCTCGCACTTCATGGAGGAAATCATACATGCCGGTCGTTGAAACTAGGTATGTATGGATTCCCAGACCCAATTTTTTTTTAGCCGCCGTCCTACTTCAATCATCGAGTGTTTTGTCCTTTTCCTTCCTGTTCAGGGGGCGGGTGGAAGCCCAATCTGCTTCCCATGCCTTCCTGCGTCATGTTTGTACCCACTTCTTCCGACCGACGGGTAATGATACAGGAGGGATATAATATGTGCATGAAAATGTGTATATAGAGAGTTGGACAGAGAGAGAGAGGGAGGGAGAGAGAGAGAGAGAGAGAGAAGGTGAGATGGACGTAGAGTGAGGAATCCATGCGTACGTTTACATCGAACTACACTAAAGCTAACTCTAATCGGTGGATTGCTTGCAAGTTACTGAAATCAGTATTGATATCGATAGTAAGATCGTTACTGATATCGATAGTGGGATCGATGGTGAGAACGATAGTGAGGTCGATCGTGAGACCGATAGTGAAATCAATTCAGTGAGATCGATAATGAGATCGATCGTGAGATCGATCGTGGGATCGATAGAGAGATGGGAGATGGGTAATGAGATCGATGCTGGGGGCGATCGACAAGGAGATCGAACAGGAACCCGGGAACCAGGACGCCCAGGAACCCAGCAGCACAATCGAAATGTGCCCGGACCCAGCAGCTGGGAACTGGGGGACCCGGAATCGGGAATTTGGGAATTTGGCCCTCTACCGAACTCTGCCAGGCATTTTCGCCAAATCTTTCAACATCCGCTAGGACCCCTTCAGTGCAATCACTGATTGGGGAATTAGAGAGAGAGAGAGAGAGACAGAGAGAGGGAGAGAGGTAGAGAACGAGGGAGAGCGGGATGGAGAAGTGGATTGTGTAACGACGAGGAATTTGCCGTGATCGTACAGCACCTGCTACAGTTTGCATGGGCGTATTCACTCCTCTCTGTCCCTCCCCCTCGCGGTGCTTGCATTTTGTGTTGCGTAAATGTCATTGTGTCGGCAGCTATCGCCCTTTGCGATTACTTGATACATACCGGGCCCTCGGGGTCGTCATGAGTTTAACGGTGTCACGAAATACATGTTTTCCAGCATGCATGCGAAGTGCACCAGCGGCCGTGCGAACGAAACAAAGCAATGACGAGGACAAGTAGGGGGAAAAGGGGGAGGATGAAAGGAAGATGGAGGCGGGACGGAGGAGGTACACATGGTTTAAAGAGGCAGGATACATGAGAGTTGAAGGAGGACGGATTATGGAGCGTGGATGAGCGGAGGAGGAATAATACCAAATGATGGGAAGGGTAGGAGGCAATGATCATGGATGAGAAAGGGCGAAAGGGGAAAAGGAGGAAGTGATAAGGGCAGGGACGGCCGAAAGGAGAGGGCTTGCATCCGTGAAGAGGGAGGGACGCGGGAGCAGGGGCGACAGGAGGGGGGCTGCGGCAGGGGGGAGGGCGGGGACGAATCTCTGCCGTGTGGGCTCTCGCGGCTGCCCCCCCGGGCCCCAATGGGGCGGGTAGCTCCCTCTTTCTCATCACCAGCGTCATGCCGCTCGTTATCCCCATCCCTATTCCTCTCCTCTGACTGCCCTCCTCATCCCTCTTCCTCTCTCCTCGTCCCCCTCCTCGTCCCTTTCCTCGTCCCTCTCCTCGTCCTTCATGCTGCTCATCCCTCTCCTCGTCCCTCTCCTCGTCCCTTTATCACTCGTTCTCATCCCTCCCCCTCTCCTATGACTACCCTCCTCATCGACATCCTCCTTCAACCATTACGGGAGTGGCGATGCAGCCGGAGAGAGGCAAGCGACAGTACGGCGAGACCTCCGAGAAGGAACCCGTGTCTACGCCAGGTGGTCGGCAAGCGCGGAGAGGGAGACGGGAGTCTTGGTCAAGATAACGAAACCACCATTTAGACGGGAAGAAGAAGGGGTTATAGGGACGGAACGCTTAGCTGTCCAACCGAGGTAGTGGACTATAAGGCAAAGACCTTCGAGCAAATCAAACCGCACTGGCAGCACATAAAGAACCTGGAGCAGCTCAGGAGGCTTGCGCAGGAGGAGATGACACCATAATGGACACTGGAGGACTCAGACAACGCGCTAAAGGGGAACCCAGACAAAGGAAAGGGAGTGGACAGGATGAGGATAATGGTGCAGCGACATACGGCGGCTACCACCAGTGGGGAGGCAAGCAATCGTGAAGCTGTTCAACGAGTGCGATAGCAGAATGGTGTGACCTTGGCAGTTGTTGGGATGGACCGTCATGGTGATGCCGGAGTCAAAGACGGGCGACGGAGCGCTTGCGTTGTTACCACAGATTGTCAGATGTTCAGACGCTGGGAGTTTTGGCACCGACTTGGAGTCAGAAGGTGGGAGGCGGAGCAAGAGCGATGATGGAGCGCGGCGGTGGCGGGCAACAGCGGCTCAAGAGGAGCGCTGCAGAGGGCCGTCCCAGACGAACGGACGAACGCCCCGGAGGTGAAGCACGGCATCTGATTGGTGGACATCGAGACGTTCCACGACAGCCTGAGGCAGGCGGACATCGAGAAAACAGCGCTGGAACCTAGGCTTCTCGGCCAGGGCCTCCTCGCGGTGATGCTCCAGCACTCGGCGGCAAGGGTGTTGAGGTGGCAGGGAGCACGCAGCCAACATACGCCGGCAGGTCGATCTAGGCAGGATCTAGACACTCGAAAAACGTGTCGAAGCCTGTGGTGTACGCAGTACTGTTGAGGGTCATGGGCCAGGTTGCGAGCATACCCAAGCCGGTACCGAGAGCATGGTTCGACGACATCAGCGTGATGGTGATGGGCCGCAAAGAAGAGGTCATGAGCGGAATGCCAACACCACGAGCTTCTTGCACCACGCGACGAAAGACAACAGCATCGCCCTCGCAGGCAAATCGGTCATGATCACCACCAGCGACGCCTACACTCGGATGGAAACACGGTAAAAGACAGAGACGCTTTCAATATCATTTTTGAGAGGGAACTAGCCATATGCACTTGCGACTTTCGCGGCGCGGGTGATCTGTCAGAGGGGGCCATTCAAAGGTCTGCGGTGTGGACGGGGGGAAGAGCGTGCGGCATGCGTGAGCGGGGAATATTTTTGGTTTCGCGCGAGCTCCAGGAGCCGCCGTTTCATTGCCCCTTCCTCGCCAGCTCTTGCTCCCCTCCGCTTTTTTCCACTGTGCACTGCGTTCCTGTTGCCTGGCCCGCGTCTTCGGATAGAGAAGCCATCAGCGCAATGGAATGGGATGGGTGGGAGGAGTGGGATGTCAGATATGGCGCGAGCGCAGCTAGCTTGCCCCCTCCCCTGTCTCCCCTCCTTTCTCTCCTCCTCCCTCCCCCTCTTCGGACCTGCTTTGTCGGAGGCAGGCCAATCCATCATCCAGCACCTCGTCACCCTTCCTTCCTCCTCACCTCCCCTTCCCTCTTTCCTTCCTCCCCTTCACCCTCCTCTCTCTAAGTCCTCCCCCTCCTCCTTCCCCTCCCCCTCCTCCTCTCGCCCTCCTCCCTTCCTCCTGCTCATCCCTTTGCTCCTCCTCTCGTCCGCCTCCTCCAGCGAGGGCCTGGCGCCGGAGGACCGCCTCCCCCACCGTGAAGCGCATCGTCCTCGCCAGCGGCCCCATCACCGGATTGCCCAGGGCGGGGGGCGGCGCTTGGAGGCCGCCGCGGCGGCGGCGGTGGCGATGCACAGTCGGACGGGGCTGGGAATAGGACAGAAATCCGTTCCAGAGCGTTCCGCTACGCTCTCGGAGCGTTCCGGAGTGCTCTGAGAGTGCCGCGGCGCCGAAGACATCCTCCAGAACCGCTGGATGATACTCTGTATTTCACCTCACCCGAACTTGCCCTCGTCCCGGCTTCGTCCCAGTACGTCGTAGACGAGCAGCATTAGCGCCGCGTCGCTGCGGGTCCGCCACGTGGCGACGTGACGCCGAGAACGACCAGCTGGCCGTGCATGCTTTGCTTCACAGTCGTGGTGTGTCCTGCTTTTCTCCGCCCACGCGCCAATGGGCGTATGGTAACTTCGCGTCGTGTCGACTGGCCGCGACCCGCCGCCGGCGTTCAACGTTGAACGCTTTCGGAAGTTGAACGACTTGACGGTTCGGAACCCGTCGATCGTTCAAGGTGGAACGATCCCCGCTGTGTCAGGAACCAACGCCGAAGTTGGCCGGACACGAACCCTCAGTACAGTTATCTTGCATCACAAGCTTCCCAAGGGTACCCTTGCATCCTTGCCCCTTCGGCCCATCCTCAGCGACTTTCGCTGGCCAACCTCGTTCAAGAAGTGTTTATATGGCCCTCCCGGGCCCCTGCATCTCAACCGCGCGTCCTCATGGCACCGGGCGACCGCGTGGCCCCTCGCCCTCCCGGCCTCGTCCCGGGAAGCATCGGCCCCCCAGATGGGCCTGGGCATCGCTGGTCGGGGCTCGGGTCCCCCACCCCGCCCGGGAGCGTGCGCCCTCGCCGTGGAGGGCCTGCGCCGGGTCAGTCGGCGGTGCATCGCTGAGTCCGGGTCTGTGCCTCCACCCGGGCCCCTTACATGGGGTCGGAGTAGACGGGGTCGGAGGATCGCGCCGCATCGGCGATGCATCCGCGATGCGGCTCGTTGCGGAGCTCGATTTCCTCCACGCCGATGGCCCCGATGCATCGGCGATGCATCGGCGATGCAGCGCGATCTTCCGACCCCATCTACTCGGACCCCATCTAGGAGGCCTCCACCCCCGCCCCTGAGGATCAGGAGCAACAAAAAGAACGTACATATCCATGAATCCGCGTGGATTTCGAGTGCGCATGGCGCGAGCGTTCGTATCGCGCGGCTGGTCTCGCGGACTGGAGGGCCGTGCTCATGTGCGTGGCTGGGTGCGTGCGTCACTTGTGTGCTCCCTACAGGAGTTCCTCCCCCCGTGGACCATCTCCCGACGACCCCCCCCCCGACGGGGGACGCTGGCCGGGGGGGTATGGATCCATGGGTTCCTCTCGCGTCGATGGGTGCACGTCCAGAGTGTGTAGAGTATGTGAGCTTGGGCCTTCCTCGGAGGCTTATGGGGGCCTCTTGGGGCGTCTTTGGAACATCTTGTGGCTGCTTTTGGGCCTGGTGGGAGCCTGTTGGGGCGTCTTGGAGGCGTGTTGGTCCGACTTCGGGCACTGTTGGGCCGTCTGGCGCCTTCCGAAGCCGTCTTGGGGGCTTCTCTGGGCCGTCTTGGTGCCCTCTTGGGGCCTCCAAGGGCCGTCATGGGCGTCTCTTGGGCCGTCCTTGGGCCCTTCTGGGGGCTTCTTGGGCCGTTTTGTAGTCATCTTGGGTGCATCTGGGGCTGTCTTGGGGTGTCGGAAGCCCGAAGAGGCGATAACGGTAAAAGCGTGTCACGACCTGTGAGAATCATCACATGATACTTCTGTCCTTTAGGAGACTTTTTGGGGCCGTCTTGAGGGCCTCTTGGGTCGATCTTGGGCATCCTTGTTGCCCCTTGGGCCGTTTTTGGAGTCATCCTGCGTCGTCTTGGAGCTATCTCGGGCCGTCCCGACAACCTGCAGAGCCGTCTCGAGGCCCTCTTCGACGCTCAAGCAGCCCAAGAAGCCACACTTAGTGATTTTCCTCAGAAGGGGTCCACCATCTTTGGTCCGTGGATGGGGCGTAGCTAAGTTGAGGCGGTTGGGTGGGTGGGGGTTTACATATTATTCGACAGTGCCAGATACTGCGATAAGTAGTTATGTGTATGCTTGAGTATACTACGGGGCATGTTGTAGTATGGCCTTTGCGCAGCTCAGCAGGTCACCTCCAGAGGGGATTCCTCTCACTTTGCGGGGTGCTCGTCTGGAGTGTGTGGACTACAGTGGGGGCCCATGCCAAGAAATACCTGATTGCCTCCAGGGTGCACTCGGTTTCTTGGGTTTCTTAGGTTTCGATGGTTTTGCTCCTCCTCCTCCTCCTCCTCCTCCTCCTCCTCCTCCTTCATCTCCGCCTCCGCCTCCGCCTCCTCCTCCTCATCCTCCTCCTGGGCCCACCTGGGCCATCTGGGGGCTGTTTTAGGGGCCTCTTGGGCCTTGGGCTCTACAGGGCTGTGTTTGGGCCCTCTTGGGGCTTCTCGGCCCGTCTTGGGGCCATCTTGGCTGTCCTGGGGTGCTGGGAGCCAGAGAAGGCGTGAACGGTCACAGCTAGACTAACATGAGGAACAACATTGTGTTCTTCCGCTGAGGGCCCTCTTGGGGGTCCTCTTGGGGGTCCTCTTGGAGTCCTCTTGGAGTCTTCTTGCGACGTCTTGGGGCGTCTTGGGAGCTTCTTGGGCCTGGCCGTGTTGGGCTTATTCTGTGTTGTCTTGGAGCCGTCTTGGGCCATCTCAAGACAATCCGCAGCCGTTTCGAGAACCTCTTCTACCTTCAAGAAGTCCAAACAGCCGATCTGATTCCCCAAACAATGGTTGCCCTTCTGAATTCGCACTTCTTGGTTTACGGGATCTGTTTGGGTCCGCCGCCTTGTTGCCGCCGTCGCCGCCCCGTGGCCGCTTCGTCGCCGCCCGTCGTCTGGGCTCGTTTGTCGGATCTGCCGTATTGTTGCCGCTGTCGCCGCCCCATGGCCGCCTCGCCGGCGCACGTCGTCTGGGCTCGTTTGTCGGGTCCGCCGCCTTGTTGCCTCCGTCGCCGCCCCATGGCCGCCTCGCGGCCGCACGTCGTCTGGGCTCGTTTGTCGGGTCCGCCGCCTTGTTGCCTCCGTCGCCGCCCCGTTGCCGCCTCGTCGACGCCTGTCGTCTGGGCTCGTTTGTCGGGTCCGCCACCTTGTTCCGTCGCCGCCTCGTCGCCGCCTCGTCGCCGCCCGTCATTGGACTCGTGTGTCAGTTCCGCCATCTTGTTTCCGCCTCGGTGCTGCCCCGTCGCCGCCACGTCGCCGCCGGTCGTCTGGGCTCGTTTGTCGGGCCCGCCGCCTTGTTGCCGCCGTCGCCGCCCCGGTGCCGCCTCGTCGCCGCTCGTCGTCTGGGCTCGTTCGTCGGATCAGCCGCCTTGTCGCCTCGTCGCCGCCCGTTGTTTGTCGTGTCCGCCGCCTTCGGTCTGCCGTCGCCGCCCTGTCGCCGCCTCGTCGCCGCGACCAAGATTGTACCACTTAGATTGCGCAACATAGATTTCGCCACATACATGGCACATCGCAGATTTTACACTCTATATGAACAAGTTGCGCAACATATTGCGCAACCTACTTCGCACACCCTGGGCTACACCCCACATTGCTCTCCGTTGATTGTACATCCCAGATTGAGCACCACATGCATTGCACCATTGATTGCACAACAAGGATGGCACCACATGTATTGTACATCATAGGGTGCATGTCATACATTGCACAAACCAGCTTGCACCACATACATTGTACCACGTAGAGTGATTCACATATAATGGCCAACTTATACCGTACCACATCTATAGCACCACACGTCTTCTACCACATACGTTGCACAACCTATACTGTACATCATATGTTGCACAACATGTATTTCACACTATAGATCGGGAGCCATATAGTGCACCACATGGATTTCAAACACATCGATTGCTACACATAGACTGCACAACACAGGTTGTACCAAATTATTTGCGCCACATATAATCAAGAGGCTTACGCCATTCCGCCGAGCCCCAGAAGAGACGGGGAGTCCACGGTTGAGGCGTCGTGGGTTTCTTGGGCACTATTTGGGAATTTGTTGGCGGTTTGGTAGTTGTTTAGGGGCTTCGGAGAGCCTTTTGCAGGCAGTTTTGAAGCGTCTTGCGGCCCGTTTTGGGGCCTTTGTTGGGCTTCTTGGAGACCTCTTGGGGCTTATTTGGGGGCTTTTGTTTTGCCTTTAGGGGGCTTCTTGGGGCCTTTGGGTGGCCTCTGGGGAGGGGAGGGGGAAGATAGGATGTTCGCTTCGTGTTCTCCCTCGTTGCCTCTCTTGGTGCCCTCTTGGGGCGATCTTTGATCGACTTGGGCCCCTCTTTGGGTATTTTGTGCCACATCGATTGTGCCGCGTAAGCTGCTAGGAATGCACAGTGTGGAATCCACGCTGGCTAACATTGATTGTTCTAAGGTGTTTCCACGTTTCTGGGCAGCAGAAAGGGGTCTACCACCTTTGGTGCTTGGATGGGGCGTGGGTCCAGTGGGCTAGTTTTGGGGGTTACATGATACGAGTAGCAGCCGCTCTGCGGATGATCGGGAGTTTCTGTACATATAAGAAGGGGCGCCCACGGGAGGCGGTGGTGCGGTGGGTGAGGATGAGCAGGATGAGGATCAGCAGGGCAAGGCTTGCGAGGGGGAGGATCAGGAGAGTGAGAGAGTGACGCGGCTCAGAAGCAGGCGAGCGTGTAGCAAGAGCGTGGTGATGTGGAGAATGAGGGCCAGGAGAGCGATAATCAGGAGAATGAAGGTCAGCAAGGGATCAGGAGCAGGCGAAAGTGGAGCAGGATAGGGAGGATCAGCAGAGTGAGGATCGGCACAGTGAGCATCGCGAGGAAAGTGAGGATCAGGGGACTGGACATGAGCATGACGAGGGTGAGGATCATGATCGTGAGGCAGGAGGGTGAGGGTGAGGAGAGCAAGAGTCATGAAAGTGAGGATCATGAGGGTGAGGATCAGGCCATGAGGGGGGCCATTAAGAGGGTGAGGATCAG